TGGGAGCATGTGTTATTTTCCATATTGGTTTGTAATGTAACTGTACGGTCTATTTTATAAAGCACTGTGCACACTGTTGGCACAATAGACAGTAAATACTGAATAACAACAATAAACATGAGGAACATCACCAATCTGAGCAAAATAGGCCCAAATGCCCGACAAACATCTTGTTTCAGTGGGGGTTTTTTTTAATGAGAAGTTTCTCACAACTGCAAAGCATTGGTAAGATTAGCAGAAGTACCAAACCAGACTATCAACATAACTTTCTTCCCCTGGTAGAACCCTCCTCTGTGACATTCCAGTAAAGGTTCTTATAGACATGAGATGACAGTCATATGATTCAGGCTTTCAGCAGATGATGTCAATGAGCACCTGATGGCTGACAAATCTTAAAGGAAATAGTGATGTGTCCTGTTGCAATGCCATCTATTGTTTTTCACAGATAAGCAGATGCCAGTGCTGGTTCATCGCATAAACAAAAACACTGACATGTTTATACATACCTACAACTACAGCCATCCTCTAATGTATACGATATTGTCAAAAGTATTTGGACGCCTGCATTTACACGCACATGACCTTTAATGGCATACAAGTCTTGGGAGTATGAAATTGTCCAAAATGTCTTGGTATGGTGACGCCTTAAGAGCTCCCTTCACTGGAACAAAGGGGCCAAACCCAACCCCTGAAAAACAACCTGACACCATAATCCCCCCTCCACCAAACGTTACACTTGGCACAATGCATTCAGGCAAGTGCCATTCTCCTGGCAACTGCCAAACCCAGACACGTCCATTGGATTGCCAGACAGAGAAGTGTAATTGGTCACTCCAGAGAACATGTCTCCACTGCTCTAGAGTCCAGTGGTGGCGGGCTTTACACCACTGCATCCGATGCTTTACATTGCACGTGGTGATGTAAGGCTTGGATGCAGCTGCTGGGCCATGGAAACCCATTCCATGAAGCTCTCTATGCACTGTTGTTGTGCTAAGCCAGGGATCCTCAAACTACAGCCTGCGGGCCTGATATGGCCCGCCAAAGCCAAAAAAACAAAACAAAACAAAACAGAACAGCAAATAGCTAGGCTTTTCACTGGTTCCTCAGCTGCGAGGACCCAGTAAGAGGCAGCCTGGAAGTCCCTGATTTCACCTGCTGAAGCCAGAAGAGTAACAGGAGAAGAGGAGAGTACACCAAACACCAGGTACAGTGCATTGCGGTGTCCAGTGTGTTAAGAGAGTTCAGTGCACAATGCATTGCGGTGTCCAGTGTGTTAAGAGAGTTCAGTGCATTGTGGTGTCCAGTGTACAATGCATTGCGCTGTCCAGTGTACAGTTCTCAGCACAGCAAGCAAACGGACCACAATGTGCTCTCCTGTTTAGTGTGGTCAGTTTTTAATAGGAAAGCAGAGGGGCCGGCAAGAAGCACCAGGGATTTCACACAAAGTAAACAATGCAAAGAGTACAGGATACTTTTTCATACAAGCATATGATACAGCAGGCACATATCAGGATTATGACATTTTGGGTTGACATATTCTTTGATACAACCAGGCAAATACATCAGATTTGTAAAAATAGCTTTTTACCTGTCTCCTTTTGTTTCCTCTGTTTAACAGGGGTTGTCAACTGCAAAGTCTGTTCTCATCTCGATTGGTTTACTTTAAGATGTCTTTCAAACAAGAGGCTATCCTTAAAAAAAAAAAAAAAAAAAAACTGGAGCGGCTTAACCCAGCCACCTACTGGAGGCAATGCCAACAAGGGAAGATAAGAAGATTACTCCCAACAGTAAACCATGAGTACACAAGGCTTACCTGTAAAGAAGCATATGCACTTTGTGGGCTCATGGAGCCTCTGCAGTGTTACCACCAGATTGTTGCTACCAAGACTAAAGAAGTATTAGTCACTGCAAGGATCAACAAGTAACTTTATCAAAACAGAAGGTTTATTTTAAAAAAAAAGGAAACAAATTATAAAATTTATTAGGAAGGTTTTAGGTTTTTTGTCTTGGTGGGGGTTGTGAGAACTTTAACCACTTTACAAACGCATGCCCGCACTTTACTGCACATGGCAGCCAATGTAGGCAACGCAACGTACGGATGCGTCACTGCCTAGTTCCAGGTTTCAGGAGCGCACGCGCACCCCTGCCGGCACCCGTTGTGATTGTACACAGCGGGAGCCTGTCAGCAAGTCCCAACCAGTGATTAACAGCTGGAATCTGCTGATCGGCTGTGTACAATCACAGCCCAGAGCGCTGTGTTGACATTCAACACAGACCTCTGTACACAGAGAGCAATTTGTCAGTTTCTCACCCCTGCAAAGCAAGGATGAGAAACTGATAGTAAAAGCAGCTCACTTTACACACATTACACATAGTTAGGCACACATTTAACCCCTAGTCGCCCTAGATGTTGTTAACTCCTTCCCAGCCAGTGTATATTTATTGTTTTGCATGAAACTATGGGTTATATGCTGGATTTTTTTTTTTTTACGAATGGCGGTGATGAGCAATTTATAATGAGGCTGCAGAAGTGTGGTGGGCAATCTGCCACTGACATCACCAGTGACAGTGTATAGTAATATCACTGATCACTATTAGTGTCACTGGTGATGTCCGTGGCAGACTGCCCGCCGCACTTCTACAGCCCCATTATAAATTGCTCATCACCGCCATTCGTAAAAAAAAAAAAAAAAAATCCAGCATATAACCCATAGTTTCATGCAAAACAATCACTATACACTTGTTGGGATTTTTTTTTTTTTTTTTCATGATTTATTTTTTATTTAATTTTTTTCAGTTTTCCAACATACAGATAGCAGTAAATATAGTAAGGAAGTAGAGCTATATACATGTCGTATAGTTTTTTTTTTTGTATTTTTTTTTAACAAAGACATGTAGCGGAATACTATTTGGCCAAAATTTATAGAGAAATTACATTTTTTTTTATTGGATATGTTTTATAGCAGAAATGAAAAAATATTAGCTTTTTTTTTAAAGTTTTTGGTCTGTTTTTGTTTTATCGCAAAAAAAATAAAAAACTCAGTGGTGATCAAATACCACCATAAAGGAAGCTCTATTTGTGTGAAAAAGATATGTAAATTTAGTTTGGGTAGCGCAGTGCGGTATAGCAAAAAATGGCTTGGTCATGAAGGGGGTAAAATCTTCCGGAGCTGAAGTTAAGGAAGGAAGCGGCAAACAAATCTTCATGATCATTTTTGAAACAAAAACCTGCATGCCACAGATGTGTACTTGTTTATGTATGACATTACATTCCTTATTCAGGTCAATGACAGCCTGTTGTGGTGACTAATTCCTTATCAGATAGCAGTCCTTGAATGCTTAATTGCTTATTTGCCTGACAGCTTATTTGCTGCAGAGGTTGTTCCAAAGCCAAATCTCACCTGGCCCCCATACAAGGTTACCGATCATTATGCTAGCAGTGTTTCAGCATTGACTAAACCCAGATTAACATACCTGTAACTAGTGAAACATGGCAGAAATGTCCATGACAATTTCTGATCACATATCACATCTACTTATTAAATTGAAGTTAAGCCAATAAAACCTTCATTAAGCTGCATTGTCATACAAGCCTTTTCAAACCTACCCTTTTCAGCCCCTATAGCACATTATTCAACAGTGTGGAGTAGTGGCGTCCCGTATGAAAACTTCATGACCGAAACTTCAGGATGCACATGGTTTTAAACCAAAACCAAAAAGGACATTTAAAAAATATTTTTTTTTATATAGAATTGTATTATATTTGACTTTTTAATTAATATCATGAATTTAAATTAATATGAATTTAAAAAATACAATCTGTTACTGTTTATTATAGCCCTGTGGCCCTGTGTGGGTCAATGTGTGGAGGTGAGCAGGCATTGCTGCCATTTGAGGATTTCTGTTCATTTTTCACTGGAGTGAAGATCACATTCACACAGATTCACTTGCATGGACTTTATGTTCTCAATTAACACATATATAATTTGATTGGTTTGATGTTTGTATACACACAGTGTGTTTTTAGAGATATTGATAAATAGCACGGGAATTTTTTCTTCTTAAAGAATCACTTCACAATTATCTGTAGTTTGTCACATATTCAAGGTCATGTTTCACTTATACTTGTAGAAAGATATTTATTGTTTGCAATCCAGTAAGGTAAAACAACTTTCATTGAAACTAACAAAAGTTAGACAGAAGATAAAATGAAATTTATATAAAACTAAAATAACTTAAGTTTTGCATTTTTTGGATTGAAGTCAATTGCGGGTGTTTTTGCATTGACATCAATTGGGGTCGTTTTTTGCACTGAAGTCAAAGGGATGCTATTTTGCATTGAAGTCAATTGTCATTATTGGCACCTTTCTTTTTCTATCGGCAAAACCCAATTTTCGGCTGATAATTTTCAGCAGCAAATATATTAGCAAATCACCAGTGTGTGGTATGTAAAGTACTATACAGCATACAAAATAGGGTATTCTGCAGGATGTCAAGTATAGCTAGATAGTATAGAATAGCTTGAAATACACTCTGTTCACATCATTTGCCTTGTGTGCATGGCAGTGGTTCACACAACTGTGTTGCAACGGAGTGCCCTGAGAAAAAGTACTGTCACCTGTCACATTTCAAGAAAGTTGTAACAAAGAAAAAAAAAAAAGTAAATGGCACTGTTCCCAACAGCGCACACTAGTGGCAGTGAGTTTAGCACAGCTGCTGGTGGGAACAAGCCCTGCGCAGAATCTATGGTATGTCATTGGTTAGCAAAGGTAAATAAGATGTCCACTTGAAGACCAATATTTTCCTGACACTAACTTTCCAGCAAAATATACTGATTTGTACATGTAAACAGATACTTAGAACCCCCCAAAATTATATTAAAATATATATACACACACATACAAACTATATTGGCAAAAGTATTATTGGGACACCCCTCCAAATCATTGGATTCAGGTGTTCCAATCACCTCCATGGCCACAGGTATAAAAATCAAGCAGCTAGGCACGCAGACTGCTTCAACAACCATTTGTGAAAGAATGAGTTGCTTTCAGGAGCTCAGTGAATTCAAGCGTGGTACCCTGATAGGTTGTCACCTGTGCAATAAGTCCATCCGTGACATTTCCTTGCTACTAAATATTCCACAGTCATCTGTTAGTGGTATTATAACAAAGTGGAAGCAACTGGGAACAACAGCAACTCAGCCACGAAGTGGTGGGCCATGTAAAAATGACAGAGCGGGGTCAGCACAGTGAGCAGAAGTCACCAACTGTCTGCAGAGTCAATAGCTAAAGACCTCCAAACTTTGTCTGGGTTTGGCAGTTGCCAGTAGAAAGGTACTTGCCTGACTGCATTGTGCCAAGTGTAAAGTTTGGTATAAAGGGGATTATGGTGTGGGGTTGTTCCTTGGGCTTGGCCCCTTAGTTCCAGTGGAGGGAACTCTTAAGGTGTCAGCATACCAAGACATTTTGGACAATTTCATGCTCCCAACTTAGTGGTAACAGTTTGGGGATGGCCCCTTTCTGTTCCAACATGACTGCACACCAGTGCACAAAGCAAGGTCCACAAAAGACATGGATGAGCGAGTTTGGAGTGGAGGAACTTGACTGGCCTACACAGAGTCCTGATCTCAACCTGATAAAACACCTTTGGGATAAATTAGAACAGAGACTGCAAGCCAGGCCTTCTCGTCCGACATCAGTGCCTGACCTCACAAATACACTTCTGGAAGAATGGTCAAACATTCCCATAGACACACTCCTAAACCTTGTGGACAACCTTCCCAGAAGAGATGAAGCTGTTATAGCTGCAAAGTGTGGGCCAACTCAACATTGAACCCTACGGACTAATACTGGGATCTCATTAATGTTCATGTGTGTGTAAAGGCAGGCGTCCCAAAACCTTTGGCAATATGGTGTGTGCATGTGTGTGTGTGTGTGTGTGTGTATATGTATATGTATATGTATATGTATATGTATATGTATATATATATATATATATATATATATATATATATATATATATATATATATATATTATATATATATATATATATATATAAAATTTTAAGCAGAGTCCCTAAAGAATAAAATGGTGGATGTTGCTAATTTTTTATGTCACACGGTATAAGCAGTTCTTCAAACGCAATTGTTTTGGAAAAAAATGTACTTTCATTTTAATGCACAAAAACACAATATAATACCCAATTGTTTGGTGTCTACATCATGTTTAAAATTTTACCAAACATGTCTCACTTTAAAATTGTGCACGCCAACAAAGAAGTAAATTTTATTATCCATAGGCGACGCTATTTAAGCCTTTACAGGTTATCACTTTATATCTAAAGTGATATACAAATCTCCTGTCTATATGTACACAGGAGATTTGGTGCTAGAATAGCAGCCCTCGATCCGACGTTCATGGCGATACCTCACATGTGTGGAACGATCACTGTTTGCACGCGTGCGGGACTGAGGTGTGTTTACAATATCGTTTTTAATTTTTTTGTGTGGATCACTTCTACTGTTATCTCATGGACTTTATATATCCCTTGTGATAGCAGTAGGCGGTGACAGGTACTCTTTACTGAGGGATCTAAGGTCTATTTGACCCTAGATCTTTCCGCTTCCCTTCACAGCATCTAATCACATCAAGATCAGTGTGATCATATACTTTCTCAATTTAAAAACGGTGCTGTTTACATCTGGCAAAACTGGGAATGACGAACACTCATTGCTTCCGGTTTCCTATACCATAGACCATAGTTTCAGTCTCTGATTACCTCTATGGTCAGCCAGTGCAACAGCCAGCTGGCCGCTCGGGTCTAACAGTAGGATGGGAAAGCCCCAAAGAGCCGCAGAAGGCGGGGGGTAGGGAAGCATCCCCTCCCACTGCTTTTTAAAGCAATCCAGTGGCTAATTAGAGGCTAGGATTGCTTTTACAAGAAATCCAACCGCCTGCTCTAAGAAACAATACCTGGATGATGCCTTCAGTAAATGCAGCCTAAGCATCAATATATTACATTTTTGATTTTTGGATTTAGATATTCTATAATAAAATGTCAATGAATACGTGATTTGAATCAGATCTAAGGGCTGGATCACACTAGCAGTGCGCACTACCGCATGGCTGCTGGTGTGCAATGGAAAGGCAATGGGGCAGACATGCTGTAAACAGTGCAGTGTCAGAACTTTAAGTGACTTTTCATTCAGATCTTTTGGCCGCAGCACAGCGCGATGCAGTGGACTGCATCACACCATGTTGTACTTTTAAAAAATGTACTCAATGACATTTTTTTTCAGCACACCATAGCAGGATGATGGTTTGAACTGCCATGGTAGGGAACAAAATGGTTTGTTTGTGCTGGGCAAGGTTGCTCAGCGTAACCCAATACATCTGGTGTGAACGAGCCCTAACTGATCGGTTATGAGTCTTAAGCTCTATAAAATACTCCATGCTTTATTTTTCTACCAAAAAAAAAAAGTAAATGTAAGGCTAGGCCCCTTTCCCTTGGGCATGGTCTGGTCCAATTTGTAACTTCTGTGCCCATTCAGTTTTTTCTGCATTTACAAACCAGGGCTTTCTGAACAACTGTTGGTGATTTATGGATGCCCAGATGAAAACTGACTTATCTGTTTACAACTTATCACACTACCTCTGATCTGCCATGTTTAGGTCAAAAAAAAAAAAAAACAAAAAAAAAAAAAAAAAACAGAAAAAGGATGCAGACCTTTTCCGATTTTTTTTCCCAAACCTGGGATGGACTTGGAGATAGATAAATGTAAACGGCACCCTATTACATCTGCCTGCCTACAGACTTACATAGAGCTTCTGTTCAGGTCCGCCTGAAAAAAACTGGCAGGCAGACCTGATCATACTACCCATGTGAAGGGGGAGAACATGCACCTTAGCAAAACTTTGCAAAATCAACACAGTATAAGTGTCCACAATATACAAATATTCTCTAGCTAAGTTGTAAACATTGTCTCTACTCATACAGCCGAAAAGCTCACTAATATTGTATTTTTTTTTTTCAGGAAAACAAGAAATTGATGACTTTCAGAACAACACCTCTTGATATTGCCCATGTAGTTTTTGCCATGTATTTAGGATTTCAGATTATTATAGCAGATAAAACTTTATGAACGATAACTGCAAAAGTTTTTATTTAATCAGTGTCACTTCTCTACATTTTTTAAAATGTAAGCAATTTCCAGAGCATTGTTCCAATGCAGTCAGCAACAAGAAGTAGGGAAATTATGCAAGTACAGTGAGGATCGAAAGTTTGGGCACCCCAGCTAAAAATTTGTATTAATGTGCATAAAGAAGCCAAGGAAAGATGGAAAAATCTCCAAAAGGCATCAAATTACAGATTAGACATTCTTATGTCAACAAAAGTTAGATTTTATTTCCATCATTTACACTTTCAAAATAACAGAAAACAAAAAAATGGCGTCTGCAAAAGTTTGGGCACCCTGCAGAGTTAATATCTTGTTCTGCCCCCTTTGGAAAGTATCACAGCTTGTAAACGCTTTTTGTAGCCAGCCAAGAGTCTTTCAATTCTTGTTTGAGGTATCTTTGCCCATTCTTCCTTACAAAAGTCTTCCAGTTCTTTGAGATTTCTGGGCTGTCTGTCACGCACTGCTCTTTTAAGGTCTATCCATAGATTTTCAATTATGTTGAGGTCAGGAGATTGTGAAGGCCATGGCAAAACCTTCAGTTTACGCCTCTTGATGTAATCCCCCGTGGATTTCGAGGTGTGTTTAGGATCATTATCCATTTGTAGAAGCCATCCTCTCTTTAACTTCAGCTTTTTCACAGATGGCATCAAGTTACCATCCAAAATTTGCTGACATTTTATTGAATCCATTTTTCCTTCTACTCGTGAGATGTTCCCTGTGCCACTGGCTGCAACACAACCCCAAAGCATGATTGATCCAACCCCATGCTTAACAGTTGGACAGAGTTCTTTTCATTAAATTCTGTGCCCCTTCTTTTCCAAACGTACCTTTGCTCATTCCGGCCAAAAAGTTCAATTTTAACCTCATCGGTCCACAGAACTTGTTTCCAAAATGCATCAGGCTTGTCTATATGTTCATTTGCAAAGTTCAAACGATGATTTTTTGTGGTGAGGACGTAGAAGAGGTTTTTTCTTCTGATGACTCTTCCATGAAGACCATATTTGTACAAGTATCTCTTTATAGTGGAATAGTGTACCACAACTCCAGTGTCTGCCAGATCTTTCTGGAGGGATCGTGCAGTCAAACGTGGGTTTTGAATTGTTTTTCTCACAATCCTGCAAGCTGTTCTGTCTGATATTTTTCTTGGTCTTCCAGATCTTGCTTTAACTTCCACTGTTCCTGATGACTGCCATTTCTTAATTACATTCCGAACAGAGGTTATTGACATCTGAAAACGCTTTGCTATCTTCTTATAGCCTTCTCCAGCTTTGCGAGCGTCAACTATTTTCAGTTTCAGTTTTCTAGACAACTGCTTAGAAGAACCCATGGTGCTGATTGTTGGGGCAAGGTCAGATGAGTCTGGGCATTTAAAACCTTTGAGATTGACATCACCTGGTCTTCCCAGACGATGATTGAGAACAATCCATGACACTGGCAGGTCTCAGCTTTGCAAAGGGGGCAGTGCATGCTATAAATTCTGCAGGGTGCCCAAACTTTTGCAGACACCATTTTTTTGTTTTCTGTTATTTTGAAAGTGTAAATGATGGAAATAAAATCTAACTTTTGTTGACATATAAGAATGTCTAATCTGTAATTTGATGCCTTTTGGAGATTTTTCCATCTTTCCTTGTCTTCTTTATGCACATTAATACAAATTTTTAGCTGGGGTGCCCAAACTTTCGATCCCCACTGTACATATTTCATACTTTAATATTCGGAGGCTGTCGTTTTTAAAGAATAAGTTCACCTATTAACAAAAAATAATAAATGCACATTTTTTTGCAGGTACTATTTTTTGTTTTTGGAGTCTAGAAAGCATTGCACCATTGATCAGCAGATTCCTGGTGCCATGAAGGTCTCCTGCAGACTGCCAGTGTAATCTGTCTGCTTGTACTTCGTACGGGCAGGCTGTTTCACACCGACAGGAAGAATTCATGAACTACCACGGCACTCAACAGCGCAGTGGTAGTTCATAGAGAACTACAAACTGACATCTGCAAAGACTGTTGAGACTTGTAGTTTCCCCATTCACAGAACTTTTTTTTAAAGCTGTGACAGCTAGCAGGGGGAGAAGATCCCCGACTAGCTGTCACAATGAGGGATCAGGGGGGTGCGGGGGGCTGGTCCTACAGTAACATGTTACACCTTGAATATGGGTGTAACATGTAACAGGCACCTAAAGGATAAG